ATGGGACTTGCTCGAAGGATGACCGGCAGAACTGGGAGTTCAATTTCTCAAAGTACTTTTGAGTTTTGGAGGAACTTCGTGAGTTCTGCAGCAGTTACAGTTCGGCTTGGGATTTACATTCAAAGTTTACGTGTTACATTCAGGAACTTCTGTTAATATGTGCCAAAAAAATTCAGCAATTAACCGTCTCTATTGTAAGATAGGATATAGTTACTGAATTGTTACTGAATTCGTAATATCGCCTACCGCTAGTGTTTCTGATACAGCGCTGATCGATATTGGGAACACATTGCTTCAGCAGGGCGTAAAACTTTAAAAACGGGACCTTTCACAACGCAAAGCAATTTACGTTCGTCCAATAGTATTTTCCTCGTAAGACACTAAAACGGAAAAGGAGTAAACCCACCGAAGATTCTAGACAAATGAAGAAAGCTTCCTGGTCCCTCTGGCGCAAGCCACTGATTCCAACCTCGCGTGGGGCTCAGACGATGAAGGTAAGGTAAGTGATACAAATAAGACCCGTGAAGGTAATACGGCCAAGTAGCGGCTGTGTTGTTGGCTGAAAATGTTTACCCTAGCAGAACGCGCAGAGGGCGCTCAACCCTTATAATTCCTTTCCAGGCAATTTTATCATTAGTGACACGTGAAAGAGGGTTTTGTTCTTTGACAGTATATATCAACGATTAGTTCATTTAATGAGCACTCTAATCAGATTAATGCCCTTAAATTTTACTGAATATTTTACCGACATAGGAGACATTTTATTACATTGTTTGCTGTCAATATGATCAAACTATTAAATACAAAGATACAAACACTCATTTCTTCTCAATGTTAAACTGATTGAACTAGATTTTTGTAAGTTTCCAAGCAATTACTGATGATTTCAACTTTGTACAATAAAGTCTCATTTTAGAAAATACTGAAATTGTTTGAGTAACCCAGCAACCCTTGCGTTACTGAAGTCATGACAGGCCGTATTTTTGCATTAGACTGTAATAGGGTAATTCATATAATATATTAGCATACCTAGCCCTAATTTTATGGTCATACAACAAGAAAACAGTTAACCTAGCAATGCCCATGGAACCTGCATGTGAGCGTATTACCTTCATATTACAATGTTTATGTAAAACAACAACAAAATATTCCTGAATCACGGTTTTGTGACATAGTAACTTCAACTTGAAGCAAAAGTATTAAATTTCATCACGATTCTGTGAATTAGGCCAAATGTTGAAATATATAACTACAAAAATTTGAGGCGCTGAACGTGACCATGTTACCTTCTCATTCCTTATTTGTTACTACCTAAAAACACGAATAATACACTATATTTTTGTATTTTTTACATCTCAAAAGTTATTACGAAGAACGCTGGCGGTGCATGCATTGAGAGTTTGTGTTTGAGCATTTATTTTTGGTTGGTTTAGAGATTATTTACGATGGTTTTTTGATAATTTTCTCATTTTGAAGTATTGATACAGACGAACAACGCATAAAAATATTTTCCCGCACTTTTGAAGGGGTGAGCTGAATCAGAAACACATCATTTTTGGAGAGGCCTGATGTGCACAATGGACATATTCAGACTTTTATACGCATCAGCATCGTCTCTCGTTGAAGCCTTAAGTGAATCTAGATATTGGTAGACGGCTAGCAGGAGACCACATTCACTGTTATATTTTCTTTTAGCTGGTATTTGGCTTGCGCAAGAGAGCAATCATGCAAGGTGTGCGGTATTAGGGAAACATCCTCTCTCTCTCTCTCTCTCTCTAGGCAAACGATTCCCCCCCTCTCTACTCTCTCTCTCTCCATATATATATATATATATATATGTTACTAATTTTGGTCATATGTTTTAGCATATTGTACACCAAAACCTTTTGCCATAAACGTTCTACGCAATGCTGAAAATAGCATTTAAATGAACTCGATTTCGTAAGTAAAAGTACACAAAAGTTAATATACGTAGAACCGTGTCACCATTGTATGCGTAATGCGTACCTCATACCATAACTCGAAGTTCACATTCATAAATAAAACACATTTCTCTGTCCGAAAGTACGTCATTAGTCGATTAGAAATGATCCGCCATTTTGACTCGTTATTGATTTGATAAGTACTTCCTAACAACGTCTCTGGAACGTATAAGTTATTGAAGGCTTTATGGATTTTACAACTTGTTCGACCTAGCTTTTATGGGTTGCTAGATGAAATCTTTAGTGGACATAGTGAGACTTGAGTTTGAAGAAAGGTCTCTAATTTTTGTTCAGAAATCTGCCCTGTTAATTTTATATACGCTGTTAGAAACATGTAAGCGATGAGTAAAATCATAGCGATCAATGTCCTAAGAAACAAAATTAATTAGTTAATTAATTAATTAGTTAAGTCAGCCATAATGAATTGAGATATGTGTGCGAGAAGTATTCGTGTAAAACCAAACCAAACTACACTTACTGAGACTACAGGCTTCGCCAAACTCCCTGTAAAATATTTTAATCCTGGAGTTCACAGAAGAAACATCACTCTTCTATAATACTCCCTGCAAATTCTCTTTCATTGTGTTATAAGAAATATCACACTCTTCAATGCATAGATACATGTAAGTTTTACCTGGCTCAAGATCTTTAATCACAGTGTGCACATCAACTTCAATGCTCTCTGACGTCATTTTGTCTTTCTTCAGAAATATAAATTAGAATAAGAGGAACATTAAATTTTCGAAACCACAAAACCAAACTTGTTATTTTATAAAGATCTGTCACAGAACGTCGCAACTCATATGACCTGTGTCAACGTCGCTCTTGTTTCTCACTCGCATTCAAGACTATCTCTCATTAACGTTTAAATCAAGCAAACAAACGAGTTGCTTTCAATATTCTTATTCCAAATAACTCGTAAAAGGTATCAGAGACCCTTAAAACACCAATAAATTGATAAGAAATTTAAAACTCAACCCTGCACTCATCTCTCGCCCTACTATGAGTTAAGGTAAGGTACCTTACCTTAACTCATAGTAGAGCGAGAGATGAGTGCAGGGTTGAGTTCTAAATTTCTTATCAATTTATTGGTGTTAATGATTGACTCCATCGTAATTATTTTTCAATATATTTATGTAAAGAGTTTCTGTTTCAGCATTTTTTAAATCATTTCTTAACCCTTAGTTATAATTGAGTGTTTCGCCATTTGTTTACAAAAAATTCAAATCACCACCACGCATATCTGCATCGCAGAAATTCCAACATTCTCTTACACTGAGGCCTGCCGAAAACCTCGTTCAAAATTTCTTTTAGAATCCGTTGACGTAGAGACGTTCTTATCCCACCCCTAACTGCCTTACTTTCATCTGGAAGTACCTAGTCTTCCGTATTCTCTAAAAAATATTTGCATTTTTTTGTAATTGGGGTTCTCGTCCCCAAATTTCATTCACTTTATCACTGAAAATAATAAACAATTCTAAACTAAACAAAATAAAATACATGTACTAACTTATATTCTTTTTGTGGAATTTTATATGTTACATACATTCAATCAGTTGCCAATACTTACAATACTTATTTGTCAAACTCTTTTTCATATTTTTCTTCACATGTATTTATAAAGAAAATTTTGAAATGGATCTATGATTGACGTTTAAATATAATTAAAGCAATTATAATTGAATTCAAGAAAGCGTTCAAGGGTTTTTGATAAATAGTGAATGACGGCAAGGAGCCATTAAACATTCGGACAATTACAATATCTCAAAAAATGCGAGTTCACAGTGGATCCTTACTTGGCAAAAATTTTATATTATCTAAAATAACCTAATAATATATCTATTTTCAAGAACCTTGAAAACCAACGTTGACACATTTTCGGTTCCTCCAAATACCCATTAGAAATACTGTTTAACTTCAATTATACTTTTTTGCGAAGTTTCATCAATTTAAATAATAATTTTCTTACCACACAAAGGTTCGCCCTCATTCTTCCTTATAATAAAACACTTATCTATAAAAATTCATTCCTCCGTGACACTTTCAGCCTTACATGTACATCACTAATAATATGTTTTCGTTCGTACTATCTTTGAGCAACTTCCAAATGCATAGTATTCATGCTTAATTCACTACAATTCAACATGCGTGCATTCATACCTTTTTACTCAATATTCAGCACCCATCAGAAAATGATTTGTTTCAATCATTTTATATCTCTGGTACACATAATACATTCACGTCTAGACGCAAATAAAATCATCATCCATGTTACTTTTATAAATATATTGCAGAAAACTTAGAATCATTTCGGATAGGAAATTGTACAACGCAAATAGTCAACTCCTGAAAATACGCATTTCTGTGCATTGATGAAATCAGCAGTAGATCTCTGACGTCATCCTCTGGTGGCCTCCGGTGGCAGCTTAACTATTCACATAGATGCTCTCTTGAGCCTGTGATGTACAGCTGGTCGAAAAATGTCCAGAAAAGTAAATATTTTCTTTATGATTGTAAAACATAGCATATCGTACTCCAAGCCTTTAAAGGATAGCTAACAAAAAAAAAACATCGCTATTGGATCATAAGATTCAGAAATTATCGCGCTGTAAGCCAACGCATACGGTCTTCATATATTAGTGTAGATTATAGTGTTTGTCGATGACCCTGGGCGAAACGCGCGCGGGCTGGTCGTTGCTTCGCACCTGGCCTGCGACTCGGAGAAGAGCGGGTGGCTGTTGGTCTGGTTCCACGTGGCCAGCGTGCGGTAGAACTTGCCCGAGCGCAGCGCGAAGTACGCCAACTTGGTGATGGAGTGCACGAAGAAGAGCGTGGTGATGGTGTTGGCAGACAGGTCGTTCACGTCCCCCGCCTCGAACGCCATGTTGATGACGATGGTCGCGAAGCCCACCACCACCTGCGGAACAAGCAATTGTATTTCCTGCCACGCTCACAACGAAACACGTTAACGTACTGCATGACCTATCGCGAGCTGAGCGGCGTTTCATATTTGCATATACCTAATTGTCCGCTTGGGGCAATTTCCCCATCCAGGTACGTCCCCAGCGGGGCATCGTCCCAGCCGCCACAAAATCAAAGCTCCAACTGGTTTACAGACATTTATGGAAGTAAATATCAGCAAAAATGAATGAAGGGAGAGGATAGAACAAGGAAAAAGAAGGTAAGATTGCCCGCGGACCGTGACCCGTTTGCTGGAAACTGCTCCAACATTCGCCTCTTATTGAATTGCAAAATCACGGAAAAGAACTGATTAGAGCATACGGCAGCAAGAATTCTTCTCCAACAGCTGCATCATGCAAGCCTCCACACGCTCTCACGGCAGTTGTCTCAGAGTAGAAATAGTTAAACAGTCCAGGGCGTCACGTAAATGTCAGTCATATCGTGATCAAAGGCGCGTATAAATAGTAATATCCTGTTAAATTGAGCCTGTAAAATTGCCACAAGCTGCGATTCTCGTACTTCTAGTAATGTGGACTCCCGCATATCTCCACGCACGAAGGCTAGAATCCGGGGTTATATGAATATTATTTTTACAAAACATTGTTTGAAATTATATATTGCACAGATTAATAGTTATTTTATAAAAAAAAATATTTACCCCTTTAGATAAAGATGTCAGCAAAAACAAACGCGCGAGTGTTAGACAATAAATATGTGTGTAATCGTATTTTGGATTAAAAATATATTCAATAAATGTCCTGCGATTGTGTTTATACAGGAATTACAGAGATTCTGAATATCTAAAATATACTACGGGGTGCCAGGAAAGTCTTTCTACACACAGTCGAGTAAGGGCCTCCTACTCAAAATTGCATTTAGTTTGTATCAACTAGATTACTGGAAAACACGTGAAGGGGACAACACTTACATCATCTAGTATGATTCTGGTGAGTACGCAATTTACTTTTCCTTTTATTACAAGCCGCAGCTCGAGCAGCTCGAATTTCTCTTGCTAGAACTCTCACCAGGAAGCGGAGATTGCCGAGAGACTTATCTGGATCACTGTACCTTCGACAACCTCGGTGGTGTCCTTGCGATGAGCCAGAGACACACATACTTACGTTGCGAGACAGTTTTGCCGGTGCAGTTTTACCTGTTTAGGCAAAGACAAACCTCGGAGACCAGCTGGCTGAGGTGGCTCAGGGCATCAACTGCCACGACCGAGCCTTTGAACAGGAACTCCTAGAATTCGAGTCCCGACGGTGGCAGGATTTTGACACTAGCTAGATTGCGCGGTCGAATTCATCCGCCGTCGCGTGGAGAATACCGGTGGCCAGCTACTCAGATCGGTGGGTTTCCGTGGTTTCTCTTATCAAAACGAGGCGAATGCCCGAGCAGAACCCTAACAAACGGACCGCGTACACTTAGATGCACTACACAATCGCACATGTTGGCCATAGAGCTTGGCCCGACAGGGGCCATGCCCCGCTGATGGGAGGTACTTGTTTTGGGGGGGGGAAAACCCGCAATCTGACGTGTACGTCGGTGCCTTATCTCACCATCCAAATGACAGAACGTAGGACCAGACGATAGTGGTTGACGCGCCCAGACACATGAAATAATCAATGAGTCAGATACCACAATCGCCTACTCGCAGGGGCAGGGCAGGTGGAGCGTTGAGCGCTTACCACGAAGGCCTTCTTACAGAAGTAAGGAAGACGTAGGGGACTATGGGTTTGAGTGGAGGAAGTGGTGTTGAGGACGCCTTCCACAAACGCCTGCTCGAAGGGGTAGAGCAGGTGGAGCGCTTACCACGAAGGCCTGCACGCACGAGTAGAGCAGGCGCGGGGCGAGCGCGGCGCCGTCGCGGTACTCGAAGATGAAGTGGCCCGACGCCTGCATCAGCCGCAGCAGCGGCCACAGGTCGGCCACCAGGCCACGCGCCTTCGCCGGCTGCTGCATCTGCGCAACGAAGCGAAAAAAGTGACATGCAACCACTTTACAATTATATTAGTATTTTGTATCATTGTGCCTAAAATGAAATCTCTTCAGTGAGGTTTGTCCATTTTATATATGACTTTTCAATAAGAATAAATTAAATTACGTGATATTGTCTTCAGTTTCTCTTGTTTCTGGCGCCTGAAGGTTATTTGGTTGTCGGAAACTGCATTTCCCTACCTTTACAATTTTGGTATTTATTTTCTCACTACTGTTTACTGTGTAGTCTCTTTTTTGTAATGCTGCCAAAGAAAGCATGTTTTCGGTGGGAATCTTCCGGCCTATTAACGAAAACGTGGAATATTTTGCCGCTACACATAGTGAATTATATCCTCTAACCCTATTCTGAATACCCAAACATTGATTGACGGCCAAACGTAAGTTGTCTGCTAATAAACAATGTCATATTAATATTTTTCGTAACTTTTCACAATAATGCGAGATAGTTTGTGCTGTTGTACAATGAGATTTGATACCAGTTTTGCATCTGAAAATACTCTAAATTTACTCACATAGTAAAAACCATCCATGTGTGCACATAAACATGTTGGAGGGAACACATGATCTCGTGAAATAAAAATATCGCATTTAGTGCTTACTCTTTTAGAATATGAAATATGATCAAGAAGTCATATTAAAATCCATTGCATTTATACACATTCGTTATTTTATTTAACTTTTAATTATTAATTGCAGGTCTATGTTCAACATAGTCTATTCAAATAACAAGTTTCGTTGTCCAAAAATAGTGAGGCACGGAACAATGTAAGCATTTTTAAAGAAATAACAAAAACAAAAGAAAATAGTTGTTATCAATGGATTAATTGTGACCTTTTCTTAACGTCAATCCTCAGCTATAATAAGTGTTTCCAAAGTATAAAGTTTTTATGTAAAAAGCGCAGTGAAATTAAATTTTAACATAAGAGGGCTAAATGAAATATCCACTTCTTCTTTCTGAAATTTTGTTATTGTATTGTAAGTCAATGTTGGCACTGGGACATTAGTATCACATGTTCCTTGAAACTCGATAAAAATTTGAATTTATGATGTTTTAAAATCGATGACAAAACCTAAACCAGAATTGTATGTTTCTAATTTTCTATAATACCTACGATAGGAACAAAATTCTCACCTCCCAGCATGAAGCTTGCATTGTTACATGGGATACCAATTATATATACATTACAAAGTTTGGCAAAATAAAAATTGTTTTTCCCTTGTAAATTCTGAATGTAACAGTATTCTAAATTAAAAACAATCAAAATTGTCCCGTAATGTAAAACTCAAACTATCAAAGAAAGGAAAATTCATATTTTCGTAGATGAAGCTCCTGAAATTTCAATTCGAACTATGCAATTCTAAATGCGGTTTTCTGATGTAAAAGCAATTGTGTTACTACATATCCATCCACATAATCATTTAAAGTAGGAACAAATCGCCAAAAACAGTTGTTTTAAAAAATTAAATTAATAATTCAATATTTGTAAAAACGTGAGAACAATGAGATTTGACATTTAATGAGAGAACATGATGGTAGTTTGATAATAGTTTTAAAAAGTGGGACGCTGAGAGATCTGTACTAGAAAATAAACAAAAATATGTAAATAAAATTGTAAATTGAAACGAAGTCAGAAGTAGAGTCATTTTAGTCAGCACACGCGTACCATAAAAACTCAAATTACACAATGTCCACGAAATTTTACTCCTGTCACAATTGAAACTTAATCAATTCGATTATACACATTTTAAATATATATAATCGAATTGGTTTTTAATATTTTGATGTATAGAATAATTGGTGAGCTTCCACATATAATTGCGTATTTTGTTATTTATGTACTTTTGAACTGTAGTAATTATTATGTTCCTCCTTAATTTATCCAATATTGTAAAAACCAATTTGGCTTCTTGGCAACTAATTTTGTAAATACACTTTCAGTTACAGTTAGCGAGAAAAACAGAATCTCTGTAATATTTAAACATTTATTGAACAAAATTAAGAAATAAATTTGGATTTATTTAAGTGTTTGTCACACATTAAAAATGATTAAAAAATATTAGAAAATATAATTTCAATAGTGGCAACCAAATCAAAACTTGTTTCTTGTTCTAAAATGTTGATAAAATTTTCTGCTCTAAAGAAGAGACAGAATTGCCTCATAATTTGGAAAAGACCTTTTAGCATCATCATCACATTTGTATTTTAACAAGTTCATTCCACATACGTATTTTTAAAGATGAGAACACAGTGAATGTTTTCTGAATCACCTGCTCAAAAGATGCAAATCAAAAATTTAGCAATGCTGCTCCCAGTTCTCTATCCCAGCCTGAATCAAGAAAATTTATGCTATGCACTTAATAATAATTTTTACTCAAAAATAAATGTTACTTGAGCCAAAAAATTGAAAAACGTGCATTAAACAGAACTAAATGCTCCGAAATTCGAGGATGCACAAAATATAATTTATATGTAAAAAGTTTTATATATCAGACTAATATTTTGCTCTAGGACATATTTTAAGTTAGTGAGTGATATCAGCTCCAAAAAGCATGCAATGACATGAACACAGCTCTACCGGCCTATAATGAATTAATCAGCAACTTCTCTGACAAACACTTCAACACTTTGTATACACAAATTTACTGTATAATTGCAAATATAATCTCAACTTTTCCAAACTAGGCAATGGATTCTCACACCCACACACACATACATTCGTGTCCCGCAAAATGCTAAACCAGTACTGAATCAAAATGATGTTACAATTAGATATTTTGTTCGAGAAGAGTCTATGGACAATAACCGCATTTTACCACTTTCCTCTGATTGTAAATGGACATCCTAATGGGAAGAAATTTTGTTTGCACCAGAAACTCAACTTATTATTAAATCCTTTGTAAACTTAAAAGATATGAGCATTTTTTCCAGGCACATAATTTTCATAATGAGGCACTATTTCACACTCAATACTACAAAGCACCACAAAGCCCGTGTCCCGCGATCTATGGACTATGCATGAGAGTAGATCCCGCCAAAGAAGGTTGGGCATCATTACCATACTAAATGTTTCAAATACCATACTCTCAGCGTTCACAAATGCATTCTGACGGAACCACTCAGAAAGTAATGTAAATTAATAAAGTGGTTATAGGCATCACTTACGTCTCAACGTCAATGGGTTGGTAAGTATGACAATCAACCACTGGTATCTTAGATAAGATGATTATTGTCATAATGTATAAATGGATCGTCACAACTGGAAGACACATATCCATAGGTTGAAGGTTGAGAGAGAGAGATGATCATTTTTTTAGTGTGTGATTGAAAATACGTATGTAATTATAACTAGTATATAGCAAAGAAAACATTTAAAATAATGTATCAAACATAAACAGTACGAGTATCACATTTAGAGTAAACACTTCATATTTGATTAATTATTAAAATTTAAAATATTTTCTGAGATTTCAAAAATGAAGCATAATTCAGGAAAATACAATAGTCGGTGACAAGCACTTAACTAGTGGTGCTACAGAATGGCAGAGACACTCGTACTAGTACGGTTTCTTTTTTTCATTGGACTGAGCTAGCTTATCAGTCTTTCCCTACCCTCTTGCCAGGTGCGTGTACCGCCGCCCAAAGTACATTTTTTCAAGTTTTCTCAATTTTTCGGTTTCCGAATGGTAAAATCAAAATATTACTTTATGAATATTAAATAATAGAAAAACCTTGTCCTTTTTGAAAATAATATTCAAACATTTGGAGCAGTTTTAAGGAAAATGTCGTTTAAGCGTTACTGTGAATGTGAAATTTGAAGCGCTTTTTCAAAAAGAACTCTAAGTTTTCAAAAATCTTCATTGGAAGTAGTTTGAGACACATCTATGCAACAATGTATGCAAAGCGCGGGAATGTAAGTGAAATATAACGGCGTGAAAAGTAATTAAAACAATTTGTAATGTTCGACAAATAAAAGAATATAAGAAAGTGACTTTTAGGTATTCTTTAAGAGTGCATTTAGCACTATCCATACAAAAAGACTGAAGAAAAAATTTGGCTCCCCAGAAGATCCAAGAATGGCAACCAAGTGAAAGGAGAATACGAGGCAGACCTAGACCAGGATGGAACGACCAGATTAAAAATATAATCGAGAAGTGGAAACTACATTCTGATTCCTGGAAGAACAGGGAAGACTGGAGAAGAAGATTGGGCCCAGGAAGATCGAAAAAGCGGCTATGAAATCGGCAAGAAGAAGAATAAGAAAACATTTGGAGCTTTTTTGAGAAAATTAGCGTTTAACGTTTCTGAAAATGCGTAAATTGTAGCTCATTTCCACAAAAAACATTTCATTTTTTGAGAAACTTTATCAGACATTTGAATCACATGAAGCCATCAATCCAACAAAGCATACAATTTACTGATTATGTAAATATTAAGGACATGAGAGAGATCTCAAAAAATTACAATTTTGTGATATTTGAAACAACAAAAGAACAGCAAAATGGCGTTTGTGTTATCCAATGAAGTACATTTAGAATTATCCAAACCAAAACTTTTAACGGGAATTCGGGGTGAACTCTAATATACGTACGTATACAAGAAAGTAAAAATGTGAGTAGAAGCTGAGTAATGAGAAGAAAAAGTTCAGTATGCCACACATTCCTACACGTTTTCTATAAAACAGAAACAAAACCGTTTGGACACATCCATTAATTACGTAATGCTGAAGAGGGAGGTCAGCGTTAAATAGGGGAAAGGAGTTCATAGTTTCGTGTTACGTGATGTTGAGATTTATATTTAAAATCTTTCAGCATTTGCTGAAATAATCCCTTTATTAATTGTGTTGTACTAAAATGTTTCCATATATAACAAACTAAATAAAAATTTAATAAATTAAAGGCGTTATATTCCAAAAATTGTTGCAATATGTTGGCGATATAAAATCCAATATGTTGGCGTAGATCCT